GCTCAACTCCGGCTTTGAAGAAAACACAAATAGAGGTAAGAAAAATGAGGAAGGAAGCCCCTTGACTGCAGTAAATAACAAGGGCAGTGATAGCTCTTGAAATGATGCAGTCGGAGACAGGAACAAGAGAGTCAGCCGCCTGGTTCCAGCCAATGGCATTGGGCACAATGCACAAGGAGGCGTATTAAAGAACACACCAGTGGAAGACAGGTGCAGTGCCAATGAGTATCTTGGCTGTAGTAGCACATTGGCTGCTCACAATACAAAGGATTAGGAGCAAGCTGGCAAAAGTGCTGAAGTAGTCATTAGGAGTAAAAGGATTATGCTGTCCAGAGCTGGATACAGCATCAGCCATACTGGCGCCACTCCCCCACTGTGCCAGGGGCAGGCAGCCTCTAAAGTAGGCGACGCTGAGTAGACCACCCAACAGGCACACCACGTCGAGTATGCCATCAGGGCGGCTGCAAGGAGAAACGATGCACACTGAGCATGGCTCGGCCACAGAGCAAAACTGCCATGCCAACAAGCATGATGGGAGCAGTGATTGACAAAGCATCAAAAGTATGCTTGGCAACATGTCCCATCACAGTGAAAACGCCAGGAGTAGCACCGCCGTCATCCCGCTGAACGGATATGCCGTAAGGGGCGGAGCAGCAGTGGCGAGAGAAAGCGCACTCATGGCCATGATGAAGAGCAACATGGCAAGAAGAAGCTCAGTAAGAGGGTGACTGCTAATCGCTTGAAAGCACAAACAGCTGCGGAATAATTCAATGCTTTCAGTAGCACTAAGAAGAAACGAAAAAATAAGTAAAGAAAGGAAAACAAGGGTAGCAAGAATACCAGCAGTACAAGCTTGAGACAGCAGTCGCGAAACGCCATTCTGAATCTGAGTGTTTTGAATCAGTCGGAGAGCATCGTACCTGAGTCTCCTGTCGCTCAGAAGCCACCTGAGTTGAACAAGGAAGTAGCCACAAACAGCAGTCACAACCTTCCCTTTCTTAGAAGCAAAGGTGGGCAGAAGGAGCAAGGGGGCAATCACAGTAACAACAGCATCAGCAACATCAACAAGGGGACGAGGATCAGGAGACAGACCATCATCCGACAGGAACAGAGGAAGGATTGAGAATTGAGAAGTTGTAAGTAAGGTTGGTAGGGGTCTCATTAAGATCAAGTTCAGGCGAGGTAGTGCAACGGGGGCAAAGCCTGGGAGCACCGGAATCCTCAGCAGAACTTGAATTAACGCTGCCCAGATCAGAAGCAGTATAAGGCTGATCATCCTTAGATTGCTCGGGGTCATCTGGAATAGCGTGATTAGGAGTAGGACTTCCAGCAACCGCTCGAAGGGAATATTGCTCATACAAAGAGCTCAGGTGCTTTTTCGGGAGCTTCCCATCAGAGACAGAGAGCTGTCCTACTACCATCCTAGTGGCGTAGAGCTCATTCTTAGCAGGACACCACAATTCACAGCATATCCAATGATGAATGCCAGCGCTGTCATTTACGAACAGAAGGCATAAATCAATGTGGTGATGAGGATCGCCTCTCCTAATCGGATTGCACGGGTTCAGGAAGCAATCAGTAGGTCCACAGCGGGCATCAAAAGTTTGAATGCTTGTGACACACTGCCAAGCAGTGCCACCAATGTCAAGAAAGCTCAGAGGGGCTTGCAAAAGAATGTCTTCATCATGAATGAGACAGGTGTGAGGATTAATGCTTCGGTGGATCGTTGCATTTTCCGTTGTGAAACAACAGAAATGCCAACGCGCATCAAAGGTAGCATTAGAAGTATGGAGGATACTATTGAAGAGCTCAATAGCATCAAAAGCCTCAGAGTCACAGAGATGAGAAGTACACACGCGTGCGCAGTCTCTGTGATGATCAAGGCTGGAGCAGTGAGTACCATCAGGACAGGCGGCGCTACCGAGGCGGTATCCCGGGATGACAAAAAGGCCGCTCCCAAAAGGGAAGAAACCAACGAACAAAATCTCAGCAAGAAACCCAAACAAAAGATCTTGCCAAAACCTGAGGAGGTACC